GGTGGGGGGGAATGTGGATCTGGCTCAGATTGCTTTCAGAATCAGGGTGATTGATAGGGCCACTAGTGGGGGCTGGGCTGAGGTAGAGTGAGCTTGGGATCTGAGTCAAACCCAGAGAGATATTTACTCAGGTGGCTAGTGGCAGAATAGGCCAAGAGGGAATCCAAATTATAAGGGGGGAAAGCAAAAGAGGGGGGAGGGCAGACCCCAGCTGTTCTGCTGAGCATGCTAAGAAAACAGGGAAGATTAGTTAAGATCTAGGAATATAAACAAACAGCATTTGGGAAAGAACACAGATCTGGAGATATAAAAGGTGATGTGTTCTACAGTGAGATGTCCTGCTACTCCAACACATCCCATGGGCATGGTGGCTTACCTCCCCATTACTCCAGGAGGCTCCTGCCCCATGGAGCTGCCACAATAGTCTCTGCCACAATAGTCTCTCCCCAGTAATCCCCAGTGAGTCCTGACAAGCTAGAGAGGACTGTCAGGGTATTTTATCTTAGCTGCCTGGCGGCCGGCTCCACTCAGCAGCCTCACATCACCTCCCAAACGGGAGTCTCTAGTAAGCTGTGTGAACCCTCAGCACTTTTAAAATTCATGCCATCGGCCTCTCCTTCACTTTGTCTATAGACCTCTTGGATCTGCTCCCTCCCTCAAGAGGCTGGCACCCATTCCATGCCAACTTCTACCATCATCCTGGACAACTGCAAAGTCCATGCAGACAACAGCCTACCCCCCACACAATACCTGAGCCCTCAGTCCATTAACCAATCTTCAGGCAACCTCCCCTGAATGTCTCTCAGGCACTCACTGCTGTGGTATACTCTAGACTTTGCCATCACCAGGAGCTGCTAATTTCTGATCATAGCCTCCCATCCTTCCAGGTCACTTGTTCAATTACTACCAGTGTAAAAACCTATTCCTGTCTTCACTCTCCTATGTGTTCTACAAAATTCCAAGGCCCAATATAGCAATCACTTACTTGTGAATGGTCTGAAACTCCTTTGCTTGCTTTCCTTACATTTCTTTTCCATGGCAAGGTTCCAACTCTGATGATCCCTTAGTGCTCCCCACCACAATCTGATTTCTCTTTCATCTTCATAGGCTTCTCAACTGCATTGACAGCTGATAACCTTCCCATTCCTTCCACATTAAAAAATCCACTCTCCTGGTTTTATTGTTCCATCTCCTGCCCAACCTTTTCATCTGGTTACCTTTACTGGTTCTTTTGTTGTTGTTAATCCTCACCTGAGGATACTTTCCCCATTGTTCTCCGGAGAGAGTGGAAGGGAGGGAGGGAGGGGGGGAGAGAGAGAGAGAGAGAGAAACACTGATGTGAGAGAGACACACCAACTGGTTGCCTCTTGTATGCAACCTGACCAAGGGGGCAGGGAGCGAACCCACAACCCAGGCACATGCCTCAACTAGGAATTGAACCTGTGACCCCTCAGTACGCAGGCCAACGCCTCAACCACTGAGCCACACCAGCCAAGGCTACTGGTTCATTTTCATTTACCCATCCACTAAATGCTCTTCACATTTCTATTCCGAGCCGTTTTCTCTTCTCATTATCTTACTCTGGGCATCTTATTTATTCCTATGACTTTAATTACCACCTCTGGGCTGCTGATTCCCAAACCCCTAGCACAGATCTCTCCTGAGACTTTTATGTCCCACTTCAAAATGAACATCTAGGGATACTTACAACATTGTGAATGGCATCACCAGCTCACCCAGTTGCTCAAGCCAGAAACCAGACTCACTTCTCTCACCAACCCTCAACATTTATTACCAGTCCTATCTACTGAATTTCTCCCATCTGCCTTCTTCCATCATCACTAATCCACAGTGGCCTTTATTTATATTGTGCCCCAAACTGGGGCTCCTGCAACACCCTTGCTCTCATCAATCCCACTCAACTGGTCCCAGTCATTCTTTATCATCTGCTTAGGCCAATAGCCTGCCTCAAAACCTCCATCCCTTCTGGAGGCATCCAACTGGCTCAGAGCCTGGAACCTGTATCCCAGTGGTCATGCCCAGTTCTTGTTCTTGGAAGTAGGTAGAAGAGGTTGTGTGTTTATGCCTGGACTCATGGCAGATTCCTTTTAGGAGCAGCCAAAGATCTATCAACCCAGTTCATCTTTTCCAGCCCTAGCCTTCCTTGCTTACAGCTTTTTCTAGCACATGATGATCTTGGCCCACTGCTAGGCAGAAATGACAGACCCATCTGCCAATGAACAGCCCAATCCCCACCCCGACATGGCATTAACTGATGGTTATTTATGAAGAGACCCAACTCCCTCACGACCACTCTCCAAAGGACAGCTCAGACTCTATCAAAACCTCTACTTATCCTATTAAATGAGCCTGTTGAAAGGCCTAGATTGAGTTCTGGGTCTTCCTCAGTCAACAAGTCTATTCTTTACCCTTCAACCTCCAACGCAAACTAGGGAAGCTCTTTAGAGAACAATGAGGCTTACAACATATAATAGCCACAGCTAGTTTATTGAGCACCTCCTTGGTACCCGGCCCTGGCTACAGATTTCCTCAGTTGGCCCATACAACAATCCCGTGAGATAGAAATTCTCCCATTTTCCAAACAAGGAATGTAACATTCAAAAATTAAATGACTCTCAGCAATAAGTGGCAGGCCAGGATTTGAACCAGGCCCACCTGGTTCTAAAAGCTGTGCTCTCAGCCAGACACACACCAGGGCCCCACGGGACAACAAAAGATGCTGGGAGTTGTTTGGGCCATGCAGCTCCAAGGATGGAGATGAGAATAGAGGGGAAAGAGGTGGTTAGTACACAGAAAAGCAAACAGTCTTGACCCAGAAGCCCAGCTTGATGTGTTGAGTCAAGATGTTGGTGGGCTACCAGTTGTCCCAGAGCCAAGAAGCAATGCCTGCCTGTCTGAGGCCTTGAAGGCCTGAGCAGATCAAAGCTGAAGGAGCAGCAGCGATCCGTAAGCTGAGGAAGCTGGTATGCAGACAGAAGATCAGAAGAGAGGAGAATGGAGACACCAGGACAGAAAGCCCATGTGGCTCCTGAGAGAAGGAAAAAGGAGTCAAACCCAGAGATGCCTTGAATTCCAAACCATCTAGTTTCCATGACACCTAGGAGATCCATAATTCCCAGGTATCCCTGTATTCTCACAATAAACTCCTTTTTCTTTAGCCAGCTCAAGTGATTTTATGCTTCTTGCAACCAAGAATCCTTCAGTAGAGCAGGGCCGAGGCAGGGGCTTCATCACACTTTGTTCTTGAGACAGAAGAAGGGTGGTACCCAGTCCTGGGTCACAACCTGGATGGTTATGGTCTTCAGAGTTCTGAGCATGGAGTTTGAGACTTGCTTCCCCTTTCCAGGGTGGGTCCAGAGGTCACCTGCGCTTATAGAGACATGGCTGAAGCTTCAGGCCTGAGAGTTGAGCCTTGGGTCCTACCCGAGGGGGCCCAGTCTTTTCAAAATCAAACAAGAAGAAGTGGCTGTTGGTCAGGTCCTAGGGGCAGAAAAGATGCAGTGAGCCCCAAATCCTCACCCCATTCTTCAAAAACACCTCTGTCTATGTCCCACCCTTGCTCAGAAAGCTTCCCAGGGCTCTCCCATGAGTCGTGCCTCAAGAAGCAAATGCCTGTGTCTATAGCCTCTTCCCGGAACACCACTACCCCAAAAAGGGCCACACATGAGACAAACACAGGGACAGACTTCTTGGGGCCCTCACCTTGAAGATGATCTTGAAGCCCAGTTTGGTCACAGCTCCCAGAAAGGTCCGAACATCTTCAAAGCGGCTGCTAACTTCCGCCACTTTCAGGAGGCCCCTGAGAAGAATGGAAAGTTCTGTGTAAGCGCACAGACACACACATGTGCACATATACATGCACTTGGTGTCCTGAAGGCTCTTACCCTGGCTTCAGCACTCGATTTGCCTCCTCTAGAAAGTCCCTGATGTTGGTTCCCATTAGCGAAAGGCAGAACACAGCCACATCTACAGATGCATCCTCCAGAGGCACCTGTGGGTAGTGGGGGTGGTGTATGAGGCACACACTATGGGGAGGAGAAAGCCAGCACTGAGTGGCAGTGCTGAACATCAGAATGGGGGGGAAGGAGGGAGTGTTAGAGATTAGCACATGCAGGTTGGGCCTAGAGCACACAGGGATAAAAGAGTTTACCTGGGCCATGTCACAAACAGTGACCCTGGGGTCCAGAGAGGCCAAGTCAAAGCAGTGTACAGGGTTCCGGATACTTGAAGCCAGGCGGCAGTCCCCACAGCCAAAGTCAGCTACCACTAGGGATGCAGGCCTGGGAGTGGAGGGGAGGGATCACTCACTGGTCTAGTCTGAGCCCATGACTGACTGACATCGCTTTTCATAGTGCCCAACCCCCATTCACCGCTGGCGAAGGTCTCTGGCGATGCGGTCCACCGGCTGCAGTGGCCACTTCTTGACTTGGCTCTGGAAGCCACGGTGGTAAAGGAGAAAGGCCTCAGGATCTTCCTGGAAGAGGCGTTGTGCAGCACTGCTGGGCCCTGAGTATAGCTGTTCATTGAGGTAGCGAAATCGAGCACCATCCAGCCGTTGTGCCATACGGGCTCGCAGAGCTCCTGCCCGAGCCTCAAGGCTGTCTTGAGTGGGGGCAGGAGGCCCCTCTGTCTCCTCTGTCTCCTCTGTGGGGGCTGTGGTTAGAGATCGGTCTGGTGACTGAGGTGGCCGAAACTTGTTCTTATGTCTACGCTTGTTTTTCTGCCGGTTCCGCCACTGCTTGCGACTCAAGGTATGGGAGGTTTGGGGGGAAGTGGTCACAGGGCTGGGCTTGGGTGGGTCATCTTGGGTAGCACTACTCTTGCAAGTTTTGGGACCTGTAGGGAGGAAGATGGGAAGGCATATTTAGGGCAAGAGCCACTGAATTCTGAGGCTTGGCAAATTCATCCTGGCCAAGACAGAGACTGCAGCCTGGATGAAAGTACTCCTCACTGCCTAACCCCCAACCTGATGGTGGCAAGTAACCTCCATCATACGTAAGATCAGATGATCCCCCTCCCCGTCCCACACACCATACATGCATCCACTGATACCTGTTTGGTCAGCACTGTTCAGGGGCTGGGTAGGGTGTGAAGGGGCCAGTTTTTGGCATTTCCCCTTTCTTTTCTCTTCTGCAGCAGAGTCACTGCCAAGAACCCCTTTACGGCACTTCTTCTTTTCTACTTCCTTTCCCTTAGAGTCACTGCCAGATAGGCCCTGTTTTTGACGCTTCTTCCTTTTCTCCTCTACTTCAATAGAAGCACTGGCAAACGAGGCCTTTTTCGGGCGTTTCTTCTTCCTTTTCACCACCTCCTCCTCCTCAGAGTCACTGCCAGGGAGGCTGGGGAGTTGTTGGGAAAGAGATGCTGCCTCCAGGGTCCGTAGTGTGGCCAGGAGCCTGCTGCGCTTGGAGCCCTGGGGGGAAAACAAGGGATGAAAGCAGGGGTGAGAATGGATGCGACCTGGGGAATAAGAAGGGAGGGATAGGGGCCTGATTCAGACACTGGCAGAGGTATCTGGATTATTCCCAGTTAACCAGCTTGTCATGAAGCTTGTCAGACTCTGAAGAACTTTCAAGTTGCCACTCCAACCTTTGAGAGGCTGGAGGGCAGAGCAACCACCCATCCCACTCTCTTCAATGTTCAGAGGAGGTATTGGGGTTCCCCAGAGGAATGTGGTAAAGCCACAAGCAACAGGACCAAGGCCAGAGACCAGGAGTTCCAGCCCTGCATCTCAGGCTTTTGCCTCCAGCTGATAAAAGGCAGGAAGGTTTCTGAAAACAAGAGTGACAGGACGATAGGTGTGTATTTAAAATGACTCTAGCTGCAGTGTAGAGAACTGAAGGGGACAAGCTGCAGACAGAGGGCGACTGGCCTGGGTTACAGCAATGGGTTGAGGGAATGAAGAGGAGGCATAAAGCAGACAGATTCTGTGTTGGAAGCTCACAGAGGGTAGGAAGAACCTGCGAAGTACAGCTGCCTTCATGTCAGCAAAAGCTTAAAGGAGAAGGTCTATTGTCTGGGAGGCTTCTGGATTGAAGTCCTACTGGGTTGTCCCAGACCAGGCACTTAACTGGGAGGTCCTTAGTAGCCCCTCCACACCACCTTTTGAAATGGTAGTATACAGACAACCCGTCATTGTCATTCCTTCTTGCTCTCTCAAATCCAATCTCCACACTAATTCTGAAGGAATCCTTCCCCTGCTAAAACTGCTTCACCGACTTCTGTCTATCCTTAAAATATGCAAAACCACTAACTTACCTCTCCAACTTCAATGACATCCCCTCTCATTTTCTGTGCTGCAACGGCACCTATCATTTGTGTGTATGTGACCCTAACAGGACATGCATGCTCTCTTGACACAGGACCTTTGCACGTGCTTTTCCTGTCCAGGAAACCCTCTTTGCTTCACAAATTCTACTTACCAACTCTCTGTTCCAACGTCATTTTCTTTTGGGAGTTCTCAGATCTTCGACCTCAGTCGGCTGCTAGCGCGCGCACGCACACGCACACGCACTCACACACTCACACATGGAGGGCGCGCGCAGCGTGACTGGCGCCGCGATCCACGAGGATCCGTTTCAGGGCCCGAAACACCTTCCAGTGCCCTGCGGGGCCACTCACCTTGATTTGCGAGGCTGTCGCGGGCCGAGACCGTGAGGCTACAGGCCCGAGGCCCGCGGCTAATGGGGCCTCCTCGGCCCACTCTGGCTCCTCAAACATGCGAATGGTGCGGGGTGAGGTCGCGGGATCCCCGCGCCTCTCCACGTGCAGAGCGTCTCCAGGAACGCCGGCGCACAGAGCCGGAAACCAGAGTGAAAGGCCGGGGAGGGCTAGAGCGTCCGGCGCAGGGCAGAAACCATCGAGTTTAAACACTGGTGTGCTAGAAGGGCAAGGAGCAGGGAGGAGGGGAGGCCCGCGCGGGCCCCGAAGGGCCAGGGGCGGGGCGGGCC